CTACGAGATCGAGGACGTCGAGAAGCTCCTCGACGGCGGCGGCGACCTGCCCGCGGAGCTCGCGAGCTCGCTCCGCTCGGATCTGATCGCGCTCGGGTGGAACCGCGGCGTCCGCGCGTTTCGTACGTCGCGCACCCCCCTCGCACGGTAGGCGCGACGTCGACGCGGACGACCTGCGCAACGTCGGCGCGCTCCAGGACGCGCTCCGCCCCCGCGACGGCGAGACCAAGGAGACGAGCGCGGCGCGCGCGCTGCCCCACGTCGCGCGGCGCGCGGCCGAGCTCGGCGCGCGGCTCCGCGGCGTCGAGATCCGCGGCTGCGAGCCCGACGACGCGTTGCAGCGGCGCTGGCGCCGCGCCGACGACGCCGCGGCGGCCGCGGCCAAGGACAGGGACGTCGCCGCCGCCGAGGCGCGCGCGACGCGCGCGGGCGACCTCGAGCACGCGGCGCTCGTCGCCGCCGCGGCGCGAAAGTGCGAGCTCGCGCGCGTCGAGGCCCAGGCCGCGGGCGACCGCGCGGCCGCGGACCACGGCCGCGCCGTCGAGGCGCGCCGCCGCGCCGCGGAGCTCGAGGCGCTCGACGCGGCCCTGAAGCGCGAGGCCGCGGAGCGCGGCCACGCGGACGTCGTCGCCGCGGCGTCGCGGGACCTCGAGCTCGCGGCTGTGCCGAATTCAACCGCTGGTTTGGGTGGTCCTGACCAAACTTGAGAATTCTCTAGCTCGACCAAATCGAAGTCGATTCGGCTGATTTTTGGACGAATCGATTGCTCTCGTCGAGTTCTCGAAGCCAAGCCAAAGAAGTTGCGTCGAAACCGTCGCATACGCGCACATTGAAGTCGAATTGAAGATTTGAATTCGGCACAGGCTCGCGGACCTCGCGGCCGCGAAGCTCGAGAGGGACCTCGCGGGCGACGCGCGCCGGGCGACGCGCGGCGCCGCGGCCCACGACGAGACCGTGCGCTTCCTCGCGGACCTGAGGGACAAGGCCGGCGTCGACACGGGCGACGTCCTCAAGGCGCCGGCGAAGGAGGAGCCGCCCCTCGAGTCGCGCGTCGAGGCCCTCCTCGCCACGGCCCTCCTCAAGGCCCGCGCCTAGGTTTTTAAAGGCGACAGCTCGGGTCCCTCGACCGCATGTGGATGGCGTCGATGGCGGCGAGGACCTCGTCGTTGAGGCGCGCCGGTTCGCCGAAGGGCGCGAGGTTCGCCTCGAGCTGGTCCAGGTCCGTGGCGCCGACGATGACGGAGCCCGCGTCGAGGAAGCGGCGCGTGCGGACGAAGGCGATCGCCAGGTCCGCCGGCGTCGTCCCGACCTCCTCGGCGAGCCTGCAGTAGTCCTCGGACGCGGCGAGCGTCTCCGCGCTCGCCGTGTCCGGGCACCAGCGCGCCATGTACTTTGGGTATTTGATGAAGCGCGAAGTCGCCGACGCGCCGCCGCCGTCGCGGTACTTGCCGCTGAGCAGGCCGCCGCCGAGCACGCTCCAGGGCAGCAACCCGATGCCGCCGCAGCGGTCGCAGGCCTCCGCGAGGTCCGCGTCGAAGCGACGGTCGACGAGCGAGTAGGAGTTCTGGATGCTCGCGAGCCCGTCCGACGTGCCCAGCGCCTCGCAGGCCTGGTGCCAGCGCGCGACCC